CTGCTGATTTTAAGTTCAAGTTTATTTATTTTGGAATAATATTGTATCCTGTCTGTTTCAATTCATATTTATGTTCAAAAAACGTTTAGTTTTAGTCTGTTGAATAAATGTTTATCCTGTTCGGCCCGCGACCTAAAGTGTGCTTTGAGGTTTGGCCCCCAGTGGATTGAGTTTGACACCCCTGCTCTAATCTCTAGTCCTCAGAAATAATCAAACCTCTGCAGCAAAGAGCTTGTGGAATTGCACAAAATCTCAGCCCACCTTTTCTTAATTCTTTTCTAGCTCATTTTGCTTTTTCTTTGTTTCCAACTTTGCCTCTCACTCCTCAGCCTATTCTGCTTCCTCTCTTTTTCTTCATCCCTCCTCTTACTTCAGCTTCCTTTACAATTGGCCTTAAAATGCACCCTTTTATATATTAGCTTGGCTGATTTATTAGTCTAGGTCTAATACCAAGAAATGACTAAACGATGAACACAGAAACACAGGATAAGAACTTGGAAAACATTCAGAATCAAACATGACTGATGTGAAACACGAATTCAGAAATTCTTACTGGCGTCTTTGTAAAAGGAATCAGGTCCTGTTTCACATTGGGTGTATTTTAATGTCAGGTCCAAGTGTAGTTCACTTGAATCCTCTCTAGATGGACTCCAAACTAATGCTGACAGTAGCTTCTGTGTCTTCCTTCACAGCTGGTGGTGAGACCAGCTCTGCATCCATCAGGGGCCTCCACAGTCCTGAGGTGCGGGCTCGCCTGGAGAGCGGGCCCTGTGCCGCTGCCCACTCCCCGCTGGCCGAGCGCAACGGATTCCTGCAGCTGCGTCTTCACGGATACCAAGCAAGCTTTGTGATGTCAACGCTGCGTAACCTGGCCCACTTTCTGGAAGATGATTCTGCGCCGCAGGTGCTGCCTATGGAGATCAACATCAGGGACGCACACATCAACCTAAAAGTGAGAATCTGGGATGTTTTCCATCATGTACAGTTTTACACTACTTTATTGCAGTGTTTTGTCTGAGAAACCACTGTTTTTGCTGTTATGCCTCCTCCTGCAGAGGTTGTTGTTGCACTATCATAAGCCTGCATCATTTCAGTAAGATATTAGTCCTAGTTTTTCCAGTTGTGTTGCACTAATAGATCCCATAACTCACTGCCATACCGTGCAGCAGCTTCTATGGCCATGTTAAATAGTTTGAACCATGGCCTAATTGGAATTTGGATTTAAGCTGAATGTTTAATGGCATAGAAAGGCCTTTCTGCCCTCTCTGTTGGGATCCTTTGTGGGTGAGCACATTTGCTGTGGAAACCTGGATTTGTGTCTTTCCCTCTGTCCTCTCTCTACACACATCACAATGTGTACTCAAGCACTCAACAAGTAGCATTTGTCTTTCAGGATGACAGCCCCCGTGACAGTCCCTCTGACTTGGAGCCCTCGCCGATCACCCTGCATGTGGACGGTCTCATCATACACAGAAGAGACGACGGCTCCTTCTTTATAGGAGGTGACAAACACACACACACACACACACACACGTTTTCGTCTGCCAGATATTTCCACCTCCTCTTCAGCGCTGATTCACAGCAATTATATAAGATGTCCTGTTGCATGCTTTTGAGTCCACGCGTGGTACATCCACACCTCCAAACTTCCTTCTGTTGTCTCTTCCTCCTCAGTGGATAGAGCTGCGGAGGCCAAATGCAGGAAAGACGGCGTGATGGTTGACCACTCACCGAGTCTGGTCCCTGAAACTGCAGGCAGTATCTGCAGAGTATCAAAGGCTACGCAGACCCAAGCCCCACCCACCAGCCCTCCTCCGTTTACCAGAGAAGAGGTAAGTTGCACAACTAAAGTCTACTGTTGGGATGTATGGGTATAAAATGCCACCCACTGCATTGGCTGATAACCATGAAGGCAAGAATGTTAGTGAAATGCACATAGTCACACAAACCTTTGCACCTGCTTTTCTTTTCCTCCTACAAAGAAACTGCTGAACAAGAGAGACTTTTATTTCTGATTGTTCTGGAGGCTGATTTAAAAGATACAGTGCCAGATTTTGGCTTTGCCAGGCTATTCCAGTTCCTTGTTTGGCTTTTATTCATTTACAGTGGGAGTGACTTTTATCTGCTTATGCAAAACACAAGTATTAGATTTTCATCTGAAACACTGGAAGTCAACAGTTGCATTATACTGTTTAAGACTAACAAGCCTCCAATCTAAACAACAAAACGGTATGGTTTTCATACTACCTTTTAAAAACGTCTGCGCAACATACAAACCCGTCTGTGCTAAGAAACACTCGCACTGCTTCTGCCTTCGCCTCTGATGGACATCAGACATTCACAAGAAGTCACTTAACAGAAAAGCCTGAGCTTATAGCAGGTCTATCTGAGTGATTGAACACACTCAGTGCTGCAGTGTTCTAATGAAAATAGCCTCCATTGTTGTTTTAGGTTTTGGCTCACAGCTTATTCTGATCTCATGAAGCCTTTTTATTTTATGCATTTTGATCATTTGTGGTTTCAGTAAGCTTGTTTGCTAATTATTTACCCTTAGAATGAACAAAGAATCCGGGTACAAGCTCCACTTTTGGGAATATTTACAGAGCTTTCAGCCACATCTCGTGGCTTTCCTCAGCAGATGGCGTTTGCTCTGTTGTCATAAAGGTGGTTCATTCACAGTACCACTTCACTAAAACACTTGGCTCAGGTCTGATTACATTAGACTGAAAGCTTTGGATAATTTTGATCTTAAGACTTTTTCATCAAACACGATTTTATTTATTTTATGCTGCACACAAACACTAGACTCCTCATTGTGTTGCTGTTTTGTTGTTTCCAGACGCTAATGGAGGAGAATGAATGTTTGAAGATGGAGTTGTCCCGAGCCAAGATGGCGCTGGCTGAGGCGCAGATGGAGAAGGACTCGCTGCTGCACCGGATGAAGAACCTCAAGGTGAACACCAGCTAGACTTGTCTTTCTCTTCACACCCTGCCAGTCATTCAGACCCACTGCTCTGCACGGATAAGGGCCAACACTTATGGGCAGCAGCAAAAGAATTCAAAGCAACATGAACAAGAAAAGAGAAAGGGGGATTCCTCGCTGCAGCTGCTCCCTTTAGATGCATAGATTTTGAGTGAGCCACCATGTGACTGTAAACATCAAGATAATTCCTTCATAAAGCAATGCAGAGTCTGTGTGAAGACTTAAATACACACTTGATGTCTGTTTTATGTCCTCCACTTTGGACTGTGGAGGCTCAGAGACAGTTGGAAAGGGAGAAATGACGTTTACCTGGGACTTTGTGTGTGTGAAAGAAACAGGATGAGGATCTTTATGGTTGTGCCTCCAGAAAACATTCCCATATTGCTCCTGTTTTACATCTTAAACCAAGCAAACAGTAACAGCTACACTTGGATGAGTTTCATTCAAACCTGCAGATATGAAGGAACACTGAATGTCTTCAGAGGAATGTCTCAAAAAATGACTTATTTTGCACCGCACTGAAATGAAACTTGTAATTTAGTGCTTTCATATTGGGAGGGGATGAAACAAACAGTGCTCATCCTCAGAGTGTGTACAGTGTATATTGTAAAAGAGTATGACCACAAGAATTTTCTACAGAACTTTAAATGGTCATCCCAGTTGAATGCGTGTCTGTTTCAGCTAGAACAAGCATTTCATTACAAGAAGAGATGAATTATCTGTCAGTTTCACAGCTAGTGTGTATCCCCCTCCCCGTATTTTTCTATGTGTAAATAGCTGCCTATATTTAATATGTGCAGCACTTTTAAAACTGAGGCACTGTAAATACAACAACCAGAACTGTGAGAGAACAACTGTTGAGCTGTTTAGAAAAGTAACAAATGTATGCTGCCTTCTAAAAAAAAAAGAAATCACTGAAGAACAATAAAGGCACATTGAAGCTGCCTGACCACATAAGTGTATGTGTGTCTATGTAAAGTTCTCACATGTAATTTTTTCCATGGACAAGTGTTGACCATATCTGCTGCTGTTCCACATCTCATGTCTATGTGATGACTTCAGGAGAAATCCCCGAGTAGACTCAGTAAAAATGACTCAAATCGACTCCCGGTTGTAACAGCACGTGCTCTGGCACGGCACAAAAGACTATAAAAGGACAGTGTAAGGCCTCAAACCTCCGCTCACACTCAACAGTAACAGTAGGTTCGGGGTAGGACATCCATCAGTCTACATATGCAACTATCAGAACCTGCGCTTTAGCTCAGCCCACTTCACGTCTGTCTTTAAAATAAGTTGTTCTGGTTAATGTACATGACAAGAAATAGCTGCCAGTTCAGCACAAACATGGTGTTAAGACTTGAAATGCGGGAGGATTGGAGAGGGGAAAATCTTTGGCCTTCCTTGCTCCTCTGGGAAACCTGTGGAGGAGGAATAAGACACAAAGTAACTTGTATTTTGTCTGTTAAAGCTGCTGAAATACTGATGAAAATAAAAGGGTCTCCAGTGTAAAGGTTTCAACTTTAAATAGTGTTTGGTGTGGATTTATTTGCAAATGTTTCCTTTTTTCCCCCATCTTTATCAAATGCTGCCACATAGTGTTGGCTACCGAAGCTCAGTACCTTTACCGGTCCAACCAAAGCTGCAACAATTAGTCTAGTAAGTGATGAGCTGAACAGAAAATTAAGCATTTTGGTTTTTTATTTTCAAGCTCAAAGTCCAGTGTGGGAATTTAATTAGTTTTAGATGATTGGTAACTGAAAATCTTTGGTTTTTGGACTATTGGATTAATAAAACAAGAGTTGAATACAAATCCTTGGGCTGTGGGAATTTAAAACAGCTATTCTTGCAGTTTTCTGACAATTTATCAAGCTAATGAAAGGAAGTACATTGCAGCTCTAGTAGCAACATAAAAACAATGTTTGAATTTGAAATAAGGGCAAAGAAGAAACTCTTTAAATGTAAGTGCAGCGTCTTTGTGAGTTAAGATGAGCTGCACTGAACCACTGCAGGACAGGGCTTGGACTTTGTGCACATAAATGGTCATGACATTTTACAGCTGGTATAGTGCAGTGAGTCCAGTGTGTTTGTGTGTGTGAGAGAGAAATGTGCTCTGCTAGTGCTGGCACAACGCTTGTTTACATACGGCGACTTAATGCTTCTGTGATGACAGCTACGTCACTGCGCATGAGCATCTTTGTAAGGAAAGCGTGTCCGTTTACTGTATGTACTGTCGGGGTAGGACAGAGAGGGGAATATAAGAAAGCACCATGCACAGCTGGGTTGAGGGAAACCTAATGAAAGTGTTCAGGTTGTGTGGGCTCAGTACAGAGTGCAGGTGGGGCTGCAGCTGCTTGTCCACTCTTTTATTTTCTCATCCGTTTTATTTCTTTGCTGCTTCCACTGAGCACAGTGATCCTGTAACACTTTATGAAAGAACACACTGTGTTTTTATGACTTTAACAGAAAAGCTGAATTCTCATAGGGGCATTACAGTAAAGCTGGAATGAAGAAGAAGAAAACAAGAAGTCAGTTGGGCACCATTATAGTCCACTACTAATTTAATTTGTGACATAGCTCCTGTGATGGCAGTGTTGCTCCGCCACTTTGTGGTTCTTAACGTTCAGGCTCTCAGATGTCTGTGAAATGTTGACCAGACTTTCAGTCTCCATATGAGGAAGATGAAGAAAAAAAACTATGATCATTTAAAATTTTTCATAATCTGCTTCTCATTCAATGTCAGAAGTGTCAATTTACATCATTTCTGTTTAGAATTACAAATAATTTTTTAATACTTGTTGGTGTTTTCCCACACCGGTGTATAAGCTATAGGCCTAAACAACAGGCTGCCAAACAAGAAAGAAACCTTCTGAAACACTGTTGGTTTGTATTTGTAAGACATGATTGTGTCGCTTGCATATCTCTATGCAAGCATCTATTTGTGTGGCTATTTTGTCTTCTAGTACCAGTGTGAAACCATTGTGGTGACTGTTATGAAGCATGACAGTGGAACAGTAGATGTTTTAGTAAACTGATTTACATCATCAAAGGGAAGAGGAAAGGAACATAGGAGGAGAATAGAAAGGGGCAAACATAAGGGAAAGCAACAGAATCGATGGACGGAGGACAGTTTGAGCGGGGACGTGGTGGAGGACAGAAAAAGTAAGGAGTGGTCAGAGGATTAATGTTAGTTCACTGACCAGGGCGTCCACACAACTCTGCAGCAGTATGAGTTTCCTTCTCTGAAATAAAGAATAAGAAGAAATAAAATCATATACAGAGTGATGTTTTTGCTCAGAAGATTTGCAGACATAATCAAAGCCATGACCTCAGTTGTCACCAGAATATAAGTGGTGGCATCTGATCTTTGTATTGTTCTAAATGTCAGTTATTTTACTAATCGTTGGCCTGTTGTGGTGCAAAGAGACCTTTCTTTATCTATCACTTTTACTTTGGGGGTGTGAAATTATGTTAGTAGTTGCATTAAAAAACTAAACAAGCTCCCAGATGTGGCCCATTTGACCTGAACTCACCCTACAATACATATTTAATATTATTAGGAACTGTGTGTGGTCTGGCTCTGTTGCCACACTTTGAGGCTGACACAGCAGCTATAGGTGGAGCACTTCAAGGCAACACTTCGTGACAACTTTCAATTAAGCAGCAGCTTGATGCAAGTCCCAGCACATGAAAATCCATCTTCTGCATCCATTCATTTTCACAAACCATGCTCAGACATGACAGGGAGGCTATTTTAGGAGCTCACCTGTTTCCAAATTCATTCAGCTGCAGTCAGTTGTGAAGGGAATATGTGGAGTAGGACTGCGCATGCGTGTATTTGATAGAATACGTTTCTAATCTGAAAGAGGTGACAACCCGCACATCTGGCGAGCAGGAAT